AGCAGGTCTGGGTTTAATCCCAGTCGGCGCTGCCGGGATGTTCTGAGGCCAGGATGTTCTGATCACGCCTTCCTTCGAAAGGGAAGTAAAACCGTTGGTCCCCGGTTCATGAGTTGATGGGTCGATAGGTAGGGTCCAGGTGTGGATGCTGCCTCCCTGGCGTAGCAGTGGTGCTCAGCACGGAAAACAAGATCGACGGAAAACAAATCAAGGAACAAAAAAAAAAGCATGTCTGAATAACTTAAACTAATTAATTAGAACGCAGTCTAAGTGATCAAATATTATATCTTAACTTTGAACAAAGGCAACCTATGAAGAAGACTAGCGATGTCCAAAGACAGAAATCTCACCATCTATCTAAATAAAAGGTCTAAGCTCTGAACGAATTGGATAGCAGAAAATCCATTCCAAAAGAGAGATAGTTGCTTGTTTTTCTATCCGGTAGTTTCACATTTGCTGTTTTCGATTTAAGAAAAAATAATGAAGTTGCCATGAGAAAATTACTGCAGCAATAATGTTGATATGTTTTGCATTATGACAAAAAAACATTTACAAAATATGATTAAAGGTGGAGGGGATAGGTCCCTTCTTGCGTAAATTATTTGATTTCAAAATTTTAATGATGTTTTGCATGAGCTCTATACAATTTAAAAAATATTTTTTTATTTGTATACATCAGTATATTTTAACTGCACCAATGATGGTTAATAGGATAACAAGATACATTTAAATACAAATGTTAAAAAGTTACATATAATATATTTACTGCCATATGATCCCCATGAAAGTAACCACTTACCAATCATTACTTCAAATAAAAGTGGTGGTCTAAAACAGATCAGTCAATTCAAGTTCCTTTTGACCTCATGAGGAACATTGATTGGCAAAAAATTATACCGGCGGTAACTCTTGATATTGATTCTACCGATCCTCTACCACCATTGGACGAGTATCGTTTCTTTACCGAACTAATCTACTAAAGCGCATTAGAAGCTCAGAAACGACGTGTTCCAAGTGCATCCTTCAAAAGAAGACCCGCCACCCCTGGATGGGATGACGAATGCACAAAGTTGTATCTTGAGAAATCCGATGCCTTTAAAGATTATCGTAGACATGAAAGATCTGAGCTTTTTGAAAAGTATCTGAAGCTTGAAAAAAAGCTTAGAAACTTACTAAAAGCAAAGAAACAAAATTACTGGCGTACTTTTATCGATGGGCTTTCTACAGAAACCTCGATGATAACACTTTGTAAAAAGGCTCGCTACATGCCTGGTCACAATTCTTACCGTTTGATCTCTATGTCTATGCCTGAGGAAATTATTAGAAAAAATGATTCTATCAAGACTTGACCATTGGGTTAAATCAAACAATCTACTTACACATACGCAGTTTGGTTTCCCAAAGAGTAAAGGAACGAACGATTGTCTAGCGGTGCTTTCCTTTGATATTCAACTGGCCTTTGCGCACAAGGAGCAATTGATTTAAGTCTTTTTGGATATCAAGGGCGCATTTGATTATGTTTCCATAGACATACTGCCAGACAATTTGCATAATCGATGCTCGCTTATACAGCTTGCAGACAATTCCGTGGTTTCCCTGAGAGGTCCACGTGCGGAAATCTTGCAAAGACCATTGGAAAATTCCCTTAATAATCTGTATTTATGGGCAATAAATTTAGGGATCGAGTTTTCACTGCAAAATACTGAATTGGTAATGTTTACAAAGGAAGTGGTTTCCAACCCAACTGCGTCTAATTTTTTTGTGCAGAGACATTACCCAATGTTTAACCTTCAAATACCTTTGAGTCTGGTTTGATTCAAAATGCACTTGGGGTACCCACACAAAGTATTTGAAACAAAAGTGTCAACAAAGGATCAACTTTCTACGATCAATTCCCGGGACATGGTGGGGTGCTCACCCGGAAGACCTAATTAAACTGAATAAAATGACTATTCTTTCAGTTCTTGAGTATTGTTATTTTTGCTTCCTCTCAGAATATAAAGCCACCTTATTACTGGCTTCGGCGTCTTCAATGAATACTCAACCAGCCTCGATCCCACAACGAGTAATTGGTACCCAATACTAATCTAGAACTACTGCTGTTTAAAATGTAAATTCAAGCATTACTGATTTTTGGCTCCGCAAAGTTTCACACACGACTGAGTCTAGTAAATAAATGAACTAGTTAAAAAAATATATTTACTGCCACAAACAGAACAACAAATGTCAACCATTTTGTCAGTCCTAAATTGACTTCGAACCAATCAAAAATCAATATTTGAAGTTAAAAAAGATGTTAAGCTTAATCTCGGGGCTTTTACAGCTGTTTAAGGTTTTACGTTTCATGCTGTTCATGCAATTTGCTTAATCACAGCGCTAGCTGGCGTTGATAGCTCGCTGACCGTCTCTCCACTTACGTTTTAGCTCCAACATCGAAAAAAGTTTTCATATAGTTTCCATTGGGAACGCACATGATATTTTTCCAATAACAAAATTAATGATTTTTATCTTAAATTCACATAACATTCATATGATCACATGAATTCTATGTGGTAAATCACATACATTTTTAAGACACATAAGGTTCATGTGATTTTGAAGTACGATTCCCAATTATAAGATCACATGAAAGTTATGTGAAATTCTAATGAATATTTTCCATTGGAAATGTGATTTATTTTTTGAATGAGAGAATTTACGTGACTGCCCTGCTGATGACATTCTAGGTGCCCTCCTCTCGACACATTTCATCAACGACATTCTACACATTAAGGGCAGGCATCTCTCTTAACACTGCTTCAAACCTAGGACAGTCGAAGACTACGTGCTTCAGTGTAGCCTCCACATTTCCACATTCTGGACAGAGGGGTGATCTTGCGTTTCCTATACTATATAGGTACTGCCTGAAGCAACGATGACCAGATACGAATTGAGTCAGGTGGAAGTTGACCTCCACATGCTTTCTGTTCGCCCAGGTTGAGCGTATCAGTAAAAGTCCATGGGTCCATCTACAGCTTTCCGCCGTGTCCTATTCCTGCTGCCACTTAGCCATCGACTCTATTGTCACCATTTTCCGTTGGAAGCACTCCCTGTCCTCCACTAAACTGATGCCAATAGGGATCATCCCGGCGATGATGGCTTCTGACGAGATGGTTCTGTACGCGTTCATGACTCGCATGACCATGAGTCTGAACTTACGATTAACTTCTCGTGATTCCGGTTAGTAAATAGCGCTGCAACCCAGGCTGTATCTAAGTATCGACGTAGATACGCTAACCAGAAGACGCCTCTTACTCTTACTGCTTGGTCTAGAGTTGTTTGGCATGATGCCGTGTTGATGACACTCGGCACATATTCGTCGATCATCACTCCCAGGTATTTCAACACGCGCTTGGAGACGTTACTGACCAATGAGGTATCTGCAGCTTTGCTCCCTGCATCCAGTTATCAATCATATCTACCGTCACCAAAATGTGTACCTTTTCCAGCGTCTCGCCTGTTACCGTTAAGACGACGTCGTCCACAAAGCCAGAGATCTTGACTCCATCGGCAGCTTGGGTGTGAGCACGCCATTTTACATTCCGTTCCAAAACATTGGACCAAGGACTGAACCTTCTGGAACGCCCACCGATCCCTGTCCCATTTCTGTCTCGTAGCTCAGAACTCGGTTCTGGAAGTAGCTCCTCAGTACCTGCATCGGTTGTCAGAGTCCTTCGTGCTTCGGAGATGGCCTCCCAGCTGGCGCTGTTGAATAAGTTCTTGACGTCGATTGTTATCACTGCACTAAATCAGTCTCCTCTCCCCTTCTGTTTGGATGCCTTCTCGGCTCTATCGACCACTGTCCGAATTCCATCTACCGTTGATCTACCTTTCCGGAATCCAAACTGTCTTGTCAACAATCCGTGTTGACTCTCCGTGCATTTCGTTGGTCTGTTGAGGATGATCCTCTCTAATAGCTTTCCGAGTGTTCCCAGCAAGTATATAAGCCTGGATCCCCTGGCGGGTTTCCTGACTTTGGCAGCATCAGTAGCATCTGTTTCTTCCATAATTGGCGCTTTCGTTGGGGATTCCATCCGTCCGGGAGCTTTCTTTGCCTTCAACCCTTTCGCCACTGCCACGAGTTGGAGAATTGTTCGGCGATGTCTCGTCGTACGGTGTAAATGGTCATGACGTTTGATCGTGCAACAGAAAAAAGTCACTTCACAATGACCTTCAACTTGTCTGGATACTTTTCAGCGGGCGTCGATAGAGCTCTGCTCTTCGCCATCACGGATGTAATGTCGGCCTAAATGCTCCTAATTTGAGCCCATACATAAATTCAGCAATCGACTAAATTTTCAAAAGCGACCATCAATATCCATTAGTACTATCCCAATGACGTGGTCATCTAGATACAATTGATAAATAGCAGATGTTTAGCGATGGGCCCAATCAAACATTAGAGCCATTTAGTTTTAATAAGTGTAATACAACCTTAATAAAAATGTATGTGTATAATTCAAAAGATGCAGAATAACATTTCAAGAAACTTTTCACAAAACGCCTAAACGCTAAAACATCGGGAAAGGTGAGAAAAGCGTTTTTACCGTCTTTTTTCAGACTGGTCTCACTGTGCATAGAAGTATAAATTTAGGTGTTTTACTCTTAACTCAGACCATTTTAGATGAACACTTCGTTTCGAAGTTGAACACTTTGTCTCACGAGATTGCCTTTCTAACTCGTTGTGCTTCAAAGCGTGGTTAATGTTACGCTCAAATATAAAGTTTATCTATTTTGCTTTTATTGCTCAACATGCTAAATTTTTCTTTCAAGGATCACATGCGCTTACCAACATTTATTATAGCATTTAGTGATTGATTGTCATTCGATTTCGCCAAATTATTTACTATTAATTAATGAGCAGACTTCAGACTGCATAAACATTTTACTATCCAATCAAGGAAAAAATAACCACACAACCGAAATAAACAAAACCTCATCCATTCCCTGCCCGTTTACAGGTGACATCAACGTGATCGCCGCCATGGGAGACTCTCTTACGGCAGCCAGCGGTGCGGCATCCTCCAATATGCTAGATCTGTACATGGAAAACCGCGGCCTTGCTTGGAGCATCGGAGGTCAATGGAACTGGCGCAACGTAACGACGCTACCGAACATTTTGAAAGAATTCAATCCAAAGGTAAGGTACAGTGTTGGGCCAAACGAATTGGATTTGATGTAGTAGTTTTAAATAGCCGGCCGGCCGATGGATGGGAAAGATTCCTCAATCGAAAGTTACAGTTGATTGGTGCTATTATTATTTTGTTTTCAGCTACTGAAGCCACTATGATTTAATTAAACAACAAAAAGTCGCTCCAAAAAATTGTGGCTCACTTGAATCATGTACGCCCCAAAAATGATAAGCTATTTTTCGATTATTTAATTACACGTCCTCAGACAGGCGATTATGTTTCGTTACCATTTTCACCGTGGCACACAATTTGAAGCTTATCATCGAATCGTGCCAGTTTAGTATTCGTCAAATGCATTTCACGCAATTATGATTAAGTAATGTTGATTTTTGCACCATGTGCCATTTCGTACCTAGCAACAGCAGTCGCGACACAAAATGTTGAGTTGCCAATAAAAGTTGACTTTATGTAATGTCTCCACACTTTACGACGATGACCGGAAAAGGTTACTTACAAAAATGTCACAAGTTGAGCGCCGAGAGAGATGAACTTTGAAACCTAATCAACTTACGTTGCATCTCTTTTACAGCTTGTCGGTTACTCCCTGGGTGATTCCTATCCTTTCCACCGTGAAACGCAGTTCAACATGGCTGAAATAGGTGCAGTTTCATACGATATGCCATTTATGGCGCGTTCCTTGGTGAAACGAATCCGCTCCGATCGACGGGTGGATTTCAAATGGGACTGGAAAATGGTCACCATCACTATAGGAGGGAACGATATCTGTTCGTTCGTATGTGCCATGGAACGTCCGGAAGATCTTCCGCAGAAGCATCGATTGCGAATGATCCGGACGCTTCGCTATCTGAGAGACAACATGCCGAGAACGTTTGTGAATGTGGTCTCTGTGCCATCGGTGGACACGGTCATATCAACGCGATCGAAGCCGGGAATCTGTCATACTTTGCATCACGGAGAATGTTCCTGCTGGGTCGGGAAAGCATACAATCAGACTGATAAGTCCAGACAGAGGTGGCGAGCAATCCAGGAAGGCATGATCAAGGTGGAAGAGGAAGTATCTCAGATGGACGAGTTTCGTCGGTTGGACGAGTTTGCTGTGGTCTATCAGCCATGGTCGACACACATTTCGGTGAGTAAAAATTTCCTGAATTCGAATTATTTAAATGACTGCAGTGAGCCGTTAATTGCGTCGAGAAATATTTTCCATGTCTGTATGCTGTTCAAATGTTAGCATGAATAATATTGACCGTCTTGGAAGAGTCACTTCCTTATTGTAGGTTTTTCTCACTTTAGTTCAAGAAATGGCTCATTCAGTCAACCAACGTGATCTGTTTGTCATTCAAGTAAGCAAGTGATGGTCGTTGAAAAATGCATAATATGAGAGGCGCTTGTTGTGTACACAAACCAATAGTCAAGCTATTCTTCCTTGAGGGGTTTGGTGTCATCTATGGTTTAGGCGAAGCGGATGTCTTTGATGTGTGCTGCGAAAGGCACTAAAATTTACCAATTCATGCTTGCAATCCAAGAGGCTAACGAACAAATTTAGACCTCGACAGTTGTATTGGAACACAGTTAATTGGGTTCTGTTGTAATGGAAAGATAATTATTCAACAGTAAACTCTGTAAACTATAAGTGTTAGACAACATACTTTTGATGTAATACAAAGAATTAGATTTCTTCCCGTACTTGCTTTTAAGTTTTTGCTGTTAGTTCACACGATGGGTGGTTTCGTCTATGTGATTAGGGCCAACCATAAACTTGACACTCACAAAAAGTGAGCTTAATTGGTTGAAAGACTGTTGAAAAAGGCGGTGGGTGGATGGCACCACTAACCGTGCACATCGGAATTGTCATACAGCAACTTACAGCAAAAGCAAAAAAGCAAGTACAGGAATATATCCATTGTGAAAGCGTACAGGAGGGTCATCATACATGAAATGGTAGAAATTTTATTACACCACAAGAGTTATATCTTTAAATAAAAGCCTCTATGTTGTTAGCAATCAGGTCAACAGTCAGTAGATAAGGTGACATTATGCCAAATAGAAGCATTTACAATCTGCTAGAAAAAGCTAAAATCTGGCGTGACCATCTCCGATTTGAATGAAACTTTCAATTGTGTTGAAAGTGACGGACCAAAAGAGCCACATCCAAGATCGCCTAGCCTCTGGACAAGCCAATGAAGTTGTCTTTGGGTGGGGGGGGGGGGCGTCGGGGAAGGGTACACGCCTCTTTTTTCACTAGCTCATCTTATAATTTACAGGGCTGTTACAACAGCCGCGAATTTCGCGAATGTCACTGATTTGTAGCGGATTTGAACTATCAGTCGTGAAAATCGCGGAAACATTAAATTTCATTTTTTTAATTATCATGATTTTCTATTTATCGTGTATTATGATGCACAGAGCAGCGATGCCCAAGGTGATGCCAACATTTAACAGTTTAATCTGGATTCTTCCAGTTTTCTTAACCCATCCTGCAAAACAGTTAAAGTTCAAAATTTTCCAGTTTTTTTTAAGAATTCTTCAAGTTTTATCCAGTTTTCCATTGATAATAGGAACATATTTTGAAGTATGAACACCAGCACAGATGCTTACACTAAAACTTTTATAATGGAACTGAAATCTGGAAATGCAGTATTTAATTTATATGTAATATTTTAATTGAAATCTCCAAAATGCGAGGCGATGCTACGATCAAGCTCGCTTCAGGCATACACAGGTATGAATTCAACCCAAAAAAAAATCTGTTTTAATGACCCGTTTTACCTGGTGATGGCTTTCGATTTTATGCTTAGTTTTAATTCATATTGAACAAAAGCAACATTTCCAAAATTATGAGCCAACATCGGGAAAAAATAACAAAATCCCAAAATTAGAAGAATGAAGTTTCAGGAATTTGATTAATTTCAAGTTCGTAACAATACATTTCAAAGATTGTAATCTCCCCTCCATGTCCGGAATATTTAGTTTGAAATAAATCATCTTAAACCATGAAGATTTTTCTAAATCTAGGTTCATTAAATTTTCTAAGCATGACATCTTTGAAAATCTAAATCTCAGGGTTTCCATTTTTTTTTTTCAAACCTTGAATATTGACCTTTTTCTGTGTCCAATTGTGGAAATATTGATTTTTTTTTATAATTTTCTCCAATTCTCTCTGAATTTACTCTGCAATGCGCTTCATATTAATAATAATTCAAGGAATTCTCTGAAAAATACTCCTGAAAAAACCACTTAAAATTTTCAACAATATACACTTTGTATTCTTCTGTAACTCCCATGAAATTACCATAGGAATTTGTTTAATTCTTCTCACAATTCCCATTAATTCTTTGAAATGCTCTTCATAGTTTCCTCGGAAATCCCTTTTAATTTTTTTAAAATTATTACCGAAATATCCTTGAAATACTTCTGCTCAGTATTCCTTAGAAATTTTCCTCAAAATTGTGTTTGAACTATCATCGGAATTTAGAAATCTATTTTTTTAAATTCACTCAAAACTCAATTTTTCCGTATTATTTTTCATAAAATGAAAACCTCAAATTAATTTTATTGCATAGTAATTTGTTCTGTGCACCCTATTTTTGATTAAGATTTGGATGTGTACCATTTTCAAGTTAGTTTGCATTTAAAATGAAAATGCATAAATGATTTTAAATAATGTGTTAGATTATATTCACTATGTGGTTTATTATATTCACTAGTCATAATTTATTCAATTACGATCATAAATAACTGAAGATGATACATTGTTAATTTTTTTTATTCCTTTTTCAAAGGTTATAAACGATACTCCCTTAGCTCAGTCGGTAAAGGTGCTGCTACGAAGCAAGTATATGCTGGTAGAAGCTGTGTTCAATTCCCGTTCGGTATTTTATTTTTTAAGGCTGGAAAATGTCTCGACTTCCTTGAGTATAGGGTTGTACAGGCATGGAAAGTCCTCAATAAAAATTCATTTTATTTATTTATTTATTTATACAATACAATAATAATAGCTCAATTAATCTACTAGTGATTTTCAGAGTATATGCTACTATTAGACTACCGATGCCGATATTAACCTAACTGAAGTAGTTGATGCATAAGGTTTTGAATGTTGTTAAACTTCCTGCTGTCTTGCATTCCCTCGTTCCATAATCGAATCGAACGATAGCGAAACGATTCAATAAAAATTTTTGTAGAGCATCTTGGAATAATTAAAAAACTTGACCTAGAAGATTGTGAGTCAATAAAAAAGTTTCGAAGATATAACGGACTTTCGTTTAAAATTTAAAAAGTTTAAATACACATTCTAAGTTTCATGTAGTTGATGAAATTGTAGCCGAGTAATAAATTATAAAAGTTAGAAATATGACCGTATTTTACAGGGCGTCTACGTATCTGGTAACGGCATTGAATACCATGTTTTATGCCTTCGTATTTGTCTTAGAAGTTATGTTGAAGAGAATATCCCCGTACAAAAATAACGGAACGATCAAGGATCTAGCCAGCTGAAGTCTGATATGTTGAGGCGTGGAGTGACGTAAAAAAACTAGGGAGTGAAGCGTACAATAAACTTTGCTGCACACAGCATTGACTTGAGAATTTCAGTTGAGGTTGCAATCCATTACAATACCAAGATTTTTAATTGTGTCAGAATACATAATGATATCACCACCCACTTTAACTAATGGGATATCCTGAATACCAGTTCAATTTGATCTAAAAATAATAGTTTGTGTTTTTGCCCTGCTCAAAATAAGAGCATTACTTTCACACCATTTTAAGATATTTTCTGTATCACTATTTAATAATGATATAGTTTCAGAAATATTATTCAATTTGCCAGAGATGTATAATCGATAGTCATCTGCATATAAGTGAAATTTACAATTTAATAAAACGTTGGGCATATCACTGATGAACATAAAAAAGTAGGGGTCCCAGGATGGATCCCTGAGTAATTGGATTGCATGTTATTAAATTCAACATACTGCGATCGGCCAGCCAAATATGATTTAATTAAATTCACCGAGGAATGACCAATTTTAAAACAACTAGCGAGTTTATTGCAGAGTTTCCGATGATCACTTGAATCAAAAGCTTTGCCGAAATCTAAAAACGCCATCACGGTTAACATTTTCTTATCAGGGGCATTTTTAATTTTTGTTTTCCTCTGTTCGGGACTTAACACTTCTGCAACCAGTAATTTGATCTATTGAAGTATATCCCGTGTCCTTAGTTTAGTGCATATCGTATTACCCCATCACTATTGAGAAATGATGAAGTATTCGATTTTTTACAGTTGTCATTCTTGCCTTCATCGCAAGAATCCGACTCTAATTGAAAGGTCCCGCTCTTTATACCCTTTGGAGTGTTGAAACATCCTCCAAAAGCGCGCCCCTTTGTCAGTCAAAATTGGATTCCTTAGCAACAAAATTAAGGAATGACACCGATAATGACCATGCATCAGAACTCTAGTCTTAAACACTTCAAACTAGGGAACAACGAATAGAAGATTAGGAATCACATAGACCAAGACTAACTAACTCATTTTTTCCTTGTTTCAAGATCATCCTCGGTGGACAAAGCCAAGTCTTGTCACTATCAACAAGACATAAAAAGTAACAAGGACTAAGATGTGTTCCTTGGATTACTGAAAAATCCTGTTCCCCTAGTTTGAAGTAGTCAGGACTTGGAATCGGTGGTAGATATTACATCCCGTAACGTACCACGAAAAGGTGATCTACCTGTTGCTAAGATGTGTTCCTTGGATTACTGAAAAATCCTGTTCCCCTAGTTTGAAGTAGTCAGGACTTGGAATCGGTGGTAGATATTACATCCCGTAACGTACCACGAAAAGGTGATCTACGTTACGGGGCGAGCATTTCTTAAATTGTATTCAATTTCTATGAGAGCTGTAATCGCGCTGTAGTTCTTACGATAACCAGATTGTAAAGAACATAGCAGATTATGATTACTAAGATATTCGTTTAGTTGTTTGGATATAATTGATTCAAAAATTTTCGACAGAGCACAAAATATGCTAATAGGTCGATCATCCTTTTCTGTAGCTGGATTGTCAATCTTACCAATAGGAACAATCTTAGCCACTTTCTATGAACATGGAAATTCTGAAGTGGTTAT